CGGTTTTCAATCAAGAATCGAGAATCGAACAACCTTTACGAGAATCGATTGCGTCTATTACGCGCGAAAGATCTAAGAAGCGGACAACTCTTTGCGAGCACGATTCTTACTTTTTTCAAAGAACTGTTTCCTTAGTTGACAAGCTAGCAGATCTATTACTACACCCGCTTACTTTTCAACTATTACGAATTCCTTCTTTTATACACGAATTTGCTGCTAATATGTCGGTCCATTCGGCCACACCGAACGTATTAGCTAGACTTGTACCATTAAGACTAAAGTGCTAGATTAACCCTTTCATTTAAGGATATGACTTTGACCTTATTGACCCCGCTTAAGTTATAGACCCTTTTATAATCAATAGCTACATCGCTATGTGTTTAGAAAGCTATAAAGACACGTACAATAGCAAGCAAAGAGAGTCCTTTTTCGAGATCTTTTTATAAGATTTTAATAAATAAACGATTGAGATATAAAGATACGCTCACCGATCGATCTGCCGCTAGCTTCGAGAACACCTCGTGATAAGTAAAGTATAAGTTAAACTAGCTAAAAGTATTTCTTAAGCATCAATCTTCTACGCTTTAAGCTAAAAAGACGAGCTAGAGCCATAGACTTCTGTTTATAAAGATGTTAAGAACAAGATTATCGCGGAACAAGAAGTCAAAGAGGCTAAGAAAATAGCACTTAAGTAGAAACAGCAAGCTAAAGATAAAGCAATAACGGCGACGGCACTTACTATTACACCGGCGGCACTTGCACTTGCTATTACACTTGCAATCGAGCTTACAACTGAACCTGCAATCGACCTTACAATTGAATTTATAATCGAGCAAAAAGGACCAGCTATAAGTATTAACCGCACCTTATTAAATGACTATTCTAATACTCGAGGCCTCGCTATTCTGCTAACCATACGTCTTTTCTCGACTTCGGTATTAACCTTTAGTAAAAAGATTAATGCTGAATATTAAATCCTTTTACCACTTGACACAACCGTCTTTTTTTACGTTAGATTACTTAAACCACCTCGAGCAAGAACTAGCGATTACGTTAGATAGATTAGTGACCTTTTAAAAGTATACTAAAACACAAAGAAGAAATATAAAAGCGCTAAATACGAAGTCTTTATTAACAAGCTTAAGATTTTTTATAAAAACTGCATACGCTTAAGCATCTTTTAAAGCGATAAAGTAAGCTACGCAATAGCTTTTTCTTTGATGCTTAAAGACGAGGCATATTAGTATTATATGATTGATATTTATAGCAAAGATATAAAGTTTTAAATGATGATTGCATTTATAAAGTCTAAGTTTAAGGTTCTAGAGTTTGCTTAAAAGTACTTATCGGAATAGAGATCACTTACACTTTAATTAATGATAAGTCTTAAAAAGAACGCCGATAAAGATAAGTCGAAGTGCTTTACGCTAATAGTTAAGAAACTCTCTTTTATTTAGCGCAATTTGACTTTCGAATATCACTCCGATAAAGCTTTAAGAGACGTGATTTTAAGCGCGATACAAAGCGTCCTTGAATGTGCGTTTGCTTAGTATAATCCCGCACTTACGACTACCGCCTTTGTTTTTTAGCTACGATTATCGATTGCTATTACTACGACGACTAGACCTTTTACCGCTTACCTTATCGATGCTACCGAGTCGAGCGACTAATACGAAGACGAGGCTTATTACGTAGACCGCTAATACAAAAGCAGCGGAGGCAATAGAGGCCGTGGCTATAACGGTAGTAGTAGTAAAAGCTTTAAAAGCTATACTAAAAGAAGATATAACAGAACTAGCAGTCGAAGCTAAGATAATCGAAGCAATTATAGTAGTAATAGCAAAAAAAGAGGAGGCGCAATAACTCGTGCTGATCGCGCTGATAAACGCTGTTTTGTTTACGGCGAGCTAAGTCATGTTTTTATACAACATAGTGGCGAAGAGCGTAAGAAATCTTACGATAACTAAAGACGCTAAGCTCAATACTATACGGAAGACGTAAGACTTGAAGAGTATACTCACTACTTCGTACAAGTTGAAAGAGTATAAGGCTTCGATTAGCAACTTTAGATTACTTTTAATTAACAATCAGCGGCCGCAACCTAATTCTTTATTGAATTAAGAACTATTGACGGCTAACACTTGATAGTAGCGTTGCTCGAGAATGCAACTTATCACACTTTTACTTCTATCGACTTATTTAAGCCACTCTCGAATATCGTTTTTTTAAAACACTTTTTATTCGATCGATACTCGGCTTATAAATTCTAAAGGTTTATTCTCGATTCTAAAGCAGCTAACCTTTCTATTGCAAAAGAGCAATAAGTTGAGGCTTTAAGCAAGCTCTTCTTTCTCCGAATCAACCGAAGAACGGCCGATAAGAATATTATTAAGTTCGGAAGCAATATTACACGTGTTATAAGCTTTGTAATAGTAAATACTCTTTTTGAATCAATCGAATTTTACATTGTTAATATAAGGACCCTTTTCTTTATCTCACTCGAAGATATAGACCGACTTTAAGTCTATTATAACAATCTTAATAATATGCTCGTCTAAAGCAACAAGCGTATTTTAATGATTCGTAAATAAAGACACCTATTCTTTATATTATAACTTAAAGACGCTTTTACGGACGCGCACTTTACAGAACAAGAATTACGCTAGTTACACCGCAGATTCGGCTACTTATCTGTTTTACGTTTGCAAAAGGTTCTTAACCTTAGCGGTCACGATGATATCGATCTTAACACTTTAAAAAAGATCGAAAGGTTTTATTATTAATGTCAGATGCATAATGCAGCTCCGAGCTGATACAAGTTCACTTTAAAAGATGATTTAAAGTTCAATTACTTTATTATTATAAACGTGATGCATTTAAACGGCAGACTAATACTATACGTCGTCGACTTAGCTATTACCTTCTAAGTTAAGCGCTTCTTAAAAGACATATCGGCTATTACTATTTAGAACGCGCTTAAGGAATGTTAGATTGACAGCTACTTCGGTCCTTTCGACTTGATTATTTACGACTTAAGAACGAACTTTATAGCAGCTGAATTCCGCGGTCTAGCTAAGATGATGTTTATTAATATTAGCGAAATGCTTACAAAAGCTTATAATAACGTAAGAAAAGTAAAAAGATACTACTAACTTTTACGACGGGCTTACGAGATTATCTCGGAAGAGATGCAAGACTTAAGAGTGATTAAAAAACAAATCTTATAAATAACAATTAAAGCCGTTAACGATACCGCCGGGCTAGCAAGCTTAGTACTTACTCTCTTCGTTTTTAGCGCTTACCCTCGCATGACTCACTTAGACCTACCAGCCCTTTCTATTACTACTAAAGCAAAGGCTATTAAGAAGGCTATAGCAGAAGTAAGAAGATTGCAAGCTGTATAGCAAGTAGTAAACGCTTTGAATATGCGCAATAGCCCTTTTACGATTAAGACGCTAGCTCTTTTTTTGCAAAGCTAAGTAAGAGTATAGAAAGAAAAGAAAAAGGACTAGCGCGCGCAATAGACCGGCCCTTACACTTTTATTGCAATAGAAAGCTATACGTGCACGGTCTAAGTCAATAACAAAGCAGTTCAATTTAAAGCTACGATAGTCAAGCTATATTACTAAGAAAATACTGCTTAAGAAGACGAAGACGAAGAGCGTCTCGAAAAGGAAAGACTATTAGTAAAAGAAGCGCCACGTCGAAGTGGCAGAAACAGACGACCTTTAAAGCGTTATTGCACGGAAGCTAAAGAATTAGCGCAATTTCTTACCGCTTTAAGTGACACTTTTTTAATTCGGAAAAAGCAAATAGACCGAGAGCTAGCTACGAAGCTACGGGCCGAAAGTGTGATTACCACTCTTAACGAGATTTTCGAAAACTTATAGCAGCGTAAGATCGAAGGCTTGATTGCACAAAGCGTATTTGAATTCATCTTATACGACTTTGTAAAGCACGTAAGAGAGCGTATTTTTAGCTCTCGTTTTATTAACGAGCTTAAAAGCAAAGAAACAGCAACCTTATTCGAAAAGTCACGGTTTATTATACAAGCCTTCGCCGACGAAAAGAAAAGAGTGATTCTTACTCAATCCTTTGCTATACAACGCTCGAGCTAACGCTTTATTATTGCACTAGCGCCGGCACTCTTATTGCTAAGGATTTCCTTTTACTTTCGTGATATTACGCAAGCTTATACTTAAAGCGATCACTTATTAAATAAGTTTATTTTAATACGCTTACCGAAAGAAATAGTTAAGTTTTACTTCGAAAGAACAATCATAAGGATCCGTAAAGCATTATATAAGATTCTTAAGGCAAGTACCTTTTAGTAGTTAACATACTACACTTATTATAAAGAGAAGCTGTCTATAGTCACTTCGATTTACGACCTTTGCCTTTTGATTTGTATTAAGAAAAGCATGTTTAAGCTCGTAAAGATGCAAGTAAACGACACTTATTACTTCGCCGACGATCGATTTGCAGCTAAAGAAAGGTCAGAACTTAAAAAGGCCGGCTTAAAAGCTAAGGATAAGACCAAGCTGACTTATACTATCGATATTAAGTTTAATAGTTGTATTTTAAAGCTATAAAAGGACGATACTATGCTCTTCATACAAAAACAACAAAGCTAGAAGCTCGCTCTCGTCTCCGATAGATTGAATTATAAGCAAGAATACTTCGAGCAGCGCGCACGCGGAGCATATATTACTTCTACTTGCCAACTTAAAGCTTTATTTGCTCTTTCAGTAGCAGCTTAGCACAAAGACCTTAGCAAAGACGAAGTAGCAGCTTTTAATAAGTGCCTTTAATAAATGATTAGCAACTAAAGTAAAGAGCTGAAATACGTTCTTATCGACTTTCGCTTAGCTAAGCTTTTTGTATTCGTAGATAGCTCTTTTGCAAACAACAAAGATCTATCTAGCTAACTTAAGTACGTGATTATCTTAAGAAACGAAACACGTACGACTGAAGAGACTTTCAAGGTTACAAGCAACGTAATGCATTACAGCTTTATTAAAAGTAAGAGAGTTATTAAAAGTGTTTTAGCTTTAAAAATCCTCGGAATAATAGCTAGAGTAGACATTGCAGTTGCTTTAAATACCACTTTAAATCAGATCACCGAACAGCTTTCGTTACTAAAGATACCAATAGTAATAGCTACCGACTCTTACTTACTTTACGAGTGTTTAATAAAGCTCGGCACAACTAAGGAAAAGAGGCTTATAATCGATGTAATAGCCTTACGACAATCTTACGAGCGCAAAGAGATCGCCGAGATACGTTAGATTAACAGGAAGAGCAATCCAGCTGATTATATAATCAAAGCAAATCCAAACAAAGCTTTAAAGAGCTTCGTCGATTGCAATACGCTAAAAGTGCGTATTAAAGGATGGGTAGATCGAGAGTAGCAAAAGAGGTTAAGACAGAGAAGTTCGATAAAACTTCGGAACGCAAGAATTTATATAAGTATAATTAAAAGAGTTCTTTACAACAAGTAAAGAACTGCTAGTGTCGGAGTACAATGGCCTCTACCCTCTACGAGCATGCGGCGGACAAGAATAAAAGGAACGATAAGGGTAGTAGTAGACTTAGCACGTGAGGGTGGCACGTGCGCCCGCGGTCCCTTTAAAGGACCGCCACTACTAATATAGCAATACCAGACATCTACAACACAACCAATACCCAAACCGATAGTACTATCAAACACCTGTGTACTAACAAAAAGTATAAGAACTAAGCTATTTGGTCTAGCCGTATCGTTAATAGCTTTAATAGCTATTTAAAGCCGATCCTTTCTTAAGGCTTTTAAAAGCTCTTTTATAACGATCTTAAAAGCGCGTCGCACAAAGACGTAATAGCGTTCTATTAGCCCGACGCTATAATAAGCTTTTATAAGCATCTGCTTTAAAGTGCTGCTAATACTTTTAAAGTAACCTCGGAACGCTGCCGAATTGAAGTTAGTTTCGAAATCGTGCACGACGTTTATAAAAGGTCCGACGTAAGTGTTGACTTAATATCGATTGAATCTTTTAAGTAAGTGTTATGCGGATATGCTTTTAAAAAAAAGTAGCGGCTTGAAAATTAATAGAATCGCAAACGATGTATAATACGTTCTTGCCGTCAAAGTGCATTACGTTTACGTATACCGTATTATTAAAGTCAGTATCATCCTTAAGCTTGATACTAAACCTCTTCGAAAAGCGTTCGAATACTTAATAGTAATAGCAAAACTTTTAAATGTTATAAAGCAAATCCCGTTTAAATTCATGCTCGGCCCTTTTAAAAACAGCAGCAAATCGACTTGTTAAAAGGTAGCCAAAACGCTTATAAATAGTCCTTAATTGCTCTTCCGTAAAATAGCAGTAGACGGTCTCGCTTTCGGTATTATAATAAGCAGCAGCGTGCTCTTTACTTAATAGCATCCACACGTACTTAAACATCTTTATTATTAGTATTTCCTTTTTTCTTTAAACTAGCACGTTTCGCAAATTATTTAAGATTACTTTATGCTTGTTTATATTAGCTAATAAAAATAAAAAAGGTACGTCGCTTTTTATAACTTAGAACTTTACTTGACTTAAAAGAGTTGTCGGTATATCCATATCGACCTTAGCTAGTAGTAGTAGTAGTAGTAGTAGTAATTGGGGAGTTCACCCGTGAACCGGGGTTCACGGGCCACTTGGCATGCTTCGCTTAGCATATCAGCAGTTAAAGGACCCTAACTTAACAAGTAAACTTATTAGCTAGCTAGTGCACGTGATTCTTTTTAATCTTATAAAAGAAATCAGTTCCTTTGAATCTTAAAGAGCAAATAGAATTCAGATACCTTATTAACCGAGTGTTTTGCAATTGCAAGTACTTTAACGAACGTTACGACTTTACGAATATATATTCTTAATCGCTTAAAAGCAATCCAACACTAATTAGTGGTTGATTTATTATTAAGTAATCAATTATAAAGAAGCTAAGACTTTATAGCGAAGATACTTTTCATCACGATACTTCCTTTCTTTTATAACGGAAAAGCGATTCCGTATCAAATCGCTTGCTTATACTATCGAGTTTTTTATTTTTACGGAATAGTGATTCCGAACCAAGTCACTTTTAAAAACAATAATTTTAACGCTATAAAAGCCGTGCTTGCTATATATAATAACTCAATTAAATTTAGATCGATTTATATATAAATAGATAATAATTATAGCCGATCGAGCAACTAGACCTTCGAGTAAAGAGTCTAGCCGATAAAAAGCAAGGTATTATACTTTTCGAATCTTATTACTATTTACGGAACCTTTAGCTATTTAGCTAAAAGAAATATTATACTTAAGACTCTTAAGCCTTTCGGAAAGATTAAACGACGAGATATCGAGCATTTTATTTGACTTAAACGAGCTATTATACGCAAAGCTCGATAATAAAATTATAGCTTGAGTAATAATAAAAGACTTCTTAGATGCGAAGTGCAAAAGACTAAAAGACTACGACTTATAAAGCTTATTCCGGCACGCTTTTTCACGCTAAGATTAAACGAGCTTTACGATAACGAAAGATAATATAAAACGAGGCTTTAAGTTTGCTACTTTTATCGACTTTAAAGAACACTTGCTATCTAAAAGCGTATAATGCTTTTTAAAGTAAAAAAGTTACGCTAATAAAATGGTCAAGCTTTTAAACGACGAGCAATAGCATTAATAAACTTTTAAAAAAGCAAAAGAGCAATAAGCAATATTTTTAAGTCTTAAATCAAAGTGGACCGCCGAAAACCTTACGGACGACGAAGATATTATATTTTAACCGCTTTTATTTTTACTTTCGAAAAGCTTAAAAAAAAAGGAAAAAGAGACTTCAAGCAAGAAAGAAAAAGAAAAAGAAGTTTAAAAGTTACGAAAAGAGTTTTTAAAAAATAAAAGAGATATAAAACGAAGTATAAAAGTTATAATAAAGCAAATAGCGGAATTACGAACCTACGTTATACAATTTAACGAAAAGCTACGACGAAGCGCTTTAACGTATTCGACGTCTTTAATTCATCAATTTTATTAATCGCTATGCAATACGCTAATCATATAAGAAAAGCCAAAATCACTTTAGCGGCTTTTAAATCCTTTTTTTAAAGGCTATAACCGGGTTTTCGAAAAGCCAAGACCGAGTAGCAATAAAAACGGTCTTAAGATCGTTATCGAACTAAACAACGAACGAAGCTACGAAAGCTATACATTAAAAAAAGACTCGCCAAAACTTAAAAGCATTTCGAGCAAAATCAGCTTTTATTAAAAATAGCGTACAAATTTCCGTGCTTAACTTTAACAACTCGAAGAAAGGATTTAGCACTTTCGAACGTATCGATAAGCTCTTTATATCTTTTAAAAAGCTACGTATTAATAAAAGAGATATTAAAAGTATAAAAATCGCTAAAAGCAAGCTTAAGAATACAGATATCATTAAGCTAAAGCTTTAACAAGTGATTTAAATAGCTTTAGCAATCTTAACGATAATCGACGAAAAAAGAACGAAAGAGATTAGCAAGAAGATCGAGGATACGGATACGGAAAAAGTAAGAACGGCCTTTTTAAACTATTAAAAAGATTCGGAAACGGACTTTTAAAAGACTTCGGATCCGGAAATGAGCTTCTTAAAGACTTTAAAAAAGTAAGACTTATAATCGGCAATTATATCGATAACCTTTTATCGATTCGATTATTAGCTAAGCACGGCACGCTTGCGTATAGCACTTTAAGCGCTCTTAACGATAATAGAAACGATTTCTTTAAGCTAAGAGCAGCAAACCTTTACTTAAGAGCGAAGGAATTAATTTTATTCGTACGAAGCTTTTTTAAAAAGCTAAAGTATTCGAAATTCGATAATAACTTTAAAACTTAATTAAGTATTTTCGTTAATTAAGTAAGTCGATACGACTTAACCTTAAACGACTACTTAATAGCATTTTCGATTATGCTTACGAAAAAGGCTATAATTTTTTATTATAATTATATGATCAAAGCTAAGCTTTTAATATTTAAAGCTAATGCTATTGCGATAAAGGACCACTTCGAGACTAACTACCGGCGGCAAGCAAAATACGATCGTTAAAAAGAAATTTCGCTAGATTTAATTAAAAAAGAGAATTTAAAGACCTCGCTTAGCGAATGCTTTAAAAAGCTCGCTAAAAAGCTTAAAAGCATTTAAAGCTTATTACGACCGAGTTTAAAAGACGATAAAAGTCTTGCCGATAAGCTATATTTAGCTTATAAAAACGTGCTAAAGACTATTATTATACGAATAAACCTTGCGTTTACTTTTATCGCTACAATTGCCGATATTCGTAAAGCTATTGCGTTTGCAATTAAGACCTCTCGACTTTCCGCTAAAGCGAGTAAAGCTTACGCGAGCTTTAGCGAGCTATACGATCATATTTGCTTTTAACATATTTTAAAAGCTGATTCCGATTTAAACGAAGAATACGAATGCTTTATTTAAGACCGCTAATACTTCGAAAGTAAAAAAGCTGCTAAAGCTATTAAAAATGAGAAAAGGTATTTTGTTTGCAAGAAGCTAAGTTGCTAAAGCATTAATCACACTTCCGACGAACGCAAAGCTTTCGTAGCTAAGTTTAAAAGCTTTAAAGACGCAAAAAAGGTAACGAAAAGCAAATTCTCTTAATATATAACGTCGATCGAAAGCTTGCTATTTGTATTTACGAAAGAATTCGATTAGTTCATCGCAAGCCTATTAGACGAGCCGCTCGAATCAAGCAGTTACGCTAATATATTAAAAGGTTTTATAATTGCTTATAGCACTTTCGACGCTAACGAAATATACAAATAACTAAAGATTCAAACGGCATTCTACGCCTTTACTAGCTAAATCGAAACTTAAAACGTGCTCGCGGGCAAAGCAAAGACTTACATAGCCTTTAAGTATTCGAAAAACATATTCATAAGCCTTATGATTAATAGCGGAGCAGCTAATTTCTTTACCGCTAGCTTGCTTTAGCTACGAGCATTTTAAAAAAGGTATTCCGAAGTCTAATTAAATACATTTCGAGCAAAGGACAAGTCCGTTAAGTACGGAATCGGCTTTACCACTTTTATTAAAGCAATTACCTTAAATACTCCCTTAAGTTAAATAGAGTTCTACGTTATAAAGAGCGACGTACTCTTCTTGTTTTTATTAGCTAATATAAATAAGCATAAGATAATCTTAAATAACTTGCGAAACGTTTTAGTCTAAAAGAAAAAGGAAATACTAATAGTAAAAATATTTAAGCACGTATAAATGCTAT